CAAACCAATGACAAAAAAAAGAAAAGCCTGTAAATAGTTCAAGGTCTGTTTGTTGACCTTTAGGAGTGTTTTCCAGTCAAGTCTGATGGGGTGCCCAAAAGTCTATTTTTGGTAGGGGAACTTCCTTGCTCTGCGCAGATTCCCTTGCTGTTCTGTTGCATTCCCTTATTGTTTTGCCTTGGTGTGGGGGGTGGGTCAGATCAGGTGCAGTTCCCACACTGTCTCCACTGTTGTCCCCTGTAGGGCTATGGATCAGTGATGGAAGTCGTGTCTCATAACGGGCTGACCATATGGTCCTCTTTGTGCATTGGCTGCACTGAGCAGGGTTATTGTACTCAATGCTTGGTGGTCCATGATGTGCTCCACTCTCTCTTCTTCCCCCTTCATTTGCTTCCTTGTGCTTTGATCAGACATGCCCCTCTCCCTGATCCGTAGCTTCAGTACTTCCTCTGAAGTAAATTCTTCTGGGGGATGGGGCAGCTGTCCACATAGTTGACTTTAGGACCGGTCCCTCCAACCTCTTAACAATTATCTTTCTATGAATACTCTGAAAATAAAATTTTAAAAAGCAATGTTATTGACACTAGTATCAGAAATAATTGTTCATATGCCAAAAAAATGACATTGAAACTTTACTTCATACCATATACCAAAATTAGCTCAGACTGAGCCAGACATAAATATTAGAGATAAAACTATTGGAAGAAAACAAACACAAATTTGTATCCTTTGATTAAGCATTGATACCTTATATTTGACATAAATCAAAAGATTTTTTTTTTTCTGGAAAGAAAGCCCGGTCATCAAAAAATTGGTTAAAGACCCATAACTGTTCCTGTCCATGGAAATCTTTAGTAAAAAGTGAAAGATTTATATGAGCTGAAGAGAAACCAGAGTGTTAGATTTTTTTAAGGTAATATAACATTGGATTTCATCAAAATTTGAAACTGTTGTGCTTTAAGTAAAACACCATAAAAAAAACAACCAACTACCATCAAGAAAGGGAAAAGGCTAGCCACAAACTGGGGAGCAATTGTGTGGGAATTATATTTAAGACTTCTACCTAGAAAATTTTAAAATAATTCTCACACTCTAAATAAGCCAAACCCACTGCTGTTTAGTTGCTTGTGACACAGAGCAACCATATAGAATGGAAGAGAACTGCTTCCTAGGTTTTCCAAGACGATAAATCTTTATGAAAACAGATGGTTTCTCCCTCAGAGGGCTGGTGGGTTCAAACTGATGACTTTACAGTTAGCCAGCCACCTTATGCCTCCTCCATAATAAAATGACATCCCAATGTAAAACTGTACAAAGGATCTGAATGGACATTTCTTCAAGAAGCTGTATAAATCAGCATCATTATTATTTGCCATCAGATTGATTCTGACCCCCAATGACCCGAAACAATAGAGCAGAACTACCCTGTAGGAGAAGGTTGCCAGTAAATGCCATTGGGGAAGTGCAACTGAAAACCACAGCTCATTACCTTTGTACCCACTCGGATAACTTTAAATTAACAGGAAAATAACAAGTGTTGACTAGCAAGTGGAGAAATTGAAGCCTTCATGCACTGCTCATGGGTATACAGAGTGATAAGGCTAATTTGGGAAACTGACAGTTTCTCAAAATAGTAAATTTAGAGTTACTATAGATTAAGCAATACTCTTAAATGTATAAGCAAGAGAAATGAAAATCTATGGCCACACTAACACTTTTGTAAATATTCCTAGCATTAGCATTAACTAAAACAGAAATAAATTTTGTTTCCATACTATGGAAAGTTATTATCTGTCAGTAAAAAGAAGTGAAACGAATTATAACTGTGACAACATAGATGATCCTTGAGACATGTCTTTGAGTGCACAGGAGATCCCAAATCTCCATTTTTAATTTAAGGAAAACAGTTGTTATTTCTTAACCAGGAAAAGACAAGATGAAGACACAAAATGTTAATGGTGTTCAAGTGTTTGCAGAGATTTGGAAGGGCAAAGGAGACTGGCACAAAACCATGATTGGTGGCAGATCACAGATTAACAGTTTAAATTTCTGAGCGCCGAGTTTGCAGAATACAATAACACTGTAGTCATGGGGAGCCCTGGTGGCGTAGTGATTACACATTGGGCTGCAATCATAAGGCCATTTGTTTGAAACCACCAGTTGAAAGACAGGACTTTCTACTCCTGTAAAAAGTCTGGGCCTCCCCCCTCACGAGCCCTACAGGGTCACCTTGAGTCAGAATTGACTCAATGGCAGTGAGTTTTTCGTTTCTATCTTTTACATTATAAACTATAGCTAACAATACAGTATGAATTACAGCAGTCTGCAAACTTAGCACTCAAGATTTTTAACTTGAACTGTATGATTTCATTTATATGAAATGTCCAGAATGGGAAAAAAGATAGATTAGTAGTTACCTAAGTTTTGAAAGGCAGGGAAAAGAAATGACTACAATTTATTGTATTATCAGTTGCCCAAAAAAAAACTAAAGGTGGGATTTAATGTTCGAAGTTGAATTACCAACAGTATCTGACAACTGCTAAATTCCTTAAGTAGGAATTTAAGGTATTTGCATTTGCGCAAAGGAGGAAGACCAATTAAGGAGATTAACACAGTAACTGCAATAACAAACTAAACCATAAAACTGAGGATAGCATTGGACCAGGAAGTATTTC